GGCAGATTTTTGTTAAAAAAACAACTATTTTGTTATTTTTTAATATTTAAACGCCGTTCCGAACAGCGGAGGCAGATTTTTGGTAAAAAATTTTTTGATCTGTCGGATACAGATTCAGATTTGTCAGATTTAGATACAGATTCAGATTTGTCAGATTCAGATCGAATCGGATTCGGATTTGTCGAATTCAAATTGAATCAGATTCAGAATTTTCGGATTCAGATCAAATCGGATTCAGATTTTCAAATTCAAATTGAATCAGATTTTGCCCAAATCTGATCCGATCTGATCCATGCAGAACTCTAGCCATTAAGCCTACACCAGCTAATGTTTCTATTACTGACGAAGATGTTCCAGATGCGTCTAGCATAAACCCAATCTTTGCTTTAATTCCATTAATAAATTTATTATTGAGTCCTGCTAAAAAATAGCAAAAAAATACTAATCTTTTTTATTTTTTTTGTTAGTCATGTGATTCTTAGCTTGTGGGTTTGTTCCGGTTACTAATTGGGGCCTTTGCAATAGAAAGAGGGGAAACTGCCGGAAAAATCAAAAATGAGTTAATGCTAAATTTGAACATATTTCAGCCTAAAAATCATATTTGGCATATAAAAGTAAAATTAATTTTTCCCGGCAGTTTCCCCCCTTTCTATTGCAAAGGCCCCAATTGATCGATAAATCCTTTTAATGATAATTCGGCTTTCTTAAGCATTTTCTTGAACTCGTTTAAATCTAAAATAGGTCGTTCATTATATATACGTTGCCTTGTATACAACACTCCTGCCATTAGTTTAACCTTTTTGCTGAGAGGAATTAATTCTAAAATATATTGATTTTATAAGAAGTAGTCCAGAATACAGTTATAAATAAGGATTTGACTATTTACTTACCCAGCTTTGCTTCATCAAGCTCTGCACATACATTGTTATATGCAGTTTCCAATTTGAAATTGGGCTTCAGAATAAATAATATCGCTACGCAAAACATATGAACTACCTTTAAATTGTCTTAAATTCTCTTCTGAAATCCTCTTATTTGCTGGCGGGTAATTAAATGTATTCTTATATTCTGAATTCTTATCAGTTTCATATAAGCAGTGATGACACATATTTGCCTCTGGTGGTAGGCCAAAAAATTTAATTAATCATTCTGTAGCCTTCTTTAATTTCTTCTTCCCTTACTATCTCTGGCTGTAGATATATATAAATTGTGTTTTGGATGAGAATATAGGTTAGGTTTTGGCTTTTTAGCATTTACTATTAATTTATTATAATACTTTCGGCATAAAGCCTTGCCAACTAAGTTGAGATTTTGACTCGAACTTGGTATATTTACTTGCTCAGATACAATAGATGTACCATACTTTTCATAATCGTAGACAACATCATCTTGACCCTCTAAATCACAATATTGAGCCTTCCTTTTTCCTTTTCTTTCATTTGTGATAGTTTTTTCTTCATAAACTTTCTATGTAGACATTTTACGTGAATTTCTTTAATAAAATTGCTTATTTGTAACAAAATAGAAAAAACCTCTTTTTAGCTAACTTCTGAATTACCAAACTATTTTTTGAATTACTTTAATATGCAATAAAACAAGATAGATGCTTTACAAAAAGTTTTATTATAACTCTTGCGAATTAATTCTTGTGACTGTGAATTCATTTAAAGTTAGATGATTATTTTTTTATTTAAATTTAATATGTGATGATCATTTTGATGATCAACTAATCAGATGTAAATTCGCTATGCTAGGTCAGGTATATATAGGTTCATTTAATGTTTGTATTGTTTTAAAAGTTTTGCTAATAACAATAATATCTATTGGAATTTAGTTAATAATTTTAAATATATAAACAATAAAAAAATTTAATTTTTTATAATTTTATTATATTATGCAAAATATTGTCTACTTTTGCTTTTTTTAAAGGTTATTTGTAAAAAAAAAAACTTAAGTTTATAAAAAAAAATAGAAAAATAATAATATATCATTTAAATAACTAAAGTAATTTAATATTCTATCTAGTAACTAATTTAATCATTATATTACTAATTTTTAGAGTTAAATTCCACTTATATGAATAGTAAAAATTACTTTAGCCTTATCGTCTTATGAAATTAGAATAACATTTTATAAAAAAGCAGATGCAAATAATTTCACAACTTTGACTAAAGCTAGATAATATTGTTCATCAATAAGATCATATATTTCATTTTTTCCAATAATTGCTAAACATATTTGTGTAAGGTGATGATAGTATTGAACTACTATTACACAAAAATGACATGAATGACTCAGATGATGAATATGAATGCAGTGACTAAAATGTCATATATGTCTTCTATGTCATATATCTTATATACTTCTTTTATTTAATATATTATATATATCTTTTTTATTACTTATATCTCTTATATCTCATATATTTATTATAGTTATTATATCTTTTATATTATTTATATTTCCTATATGTTTTCAAACACTTTATGTATTCATTTTTATATAAATATACCTTGAGTCTTAGAGTAGTTAACGGTAGAGAGTTTTGAAGTAAGTTTAGAATAGTCAGAATACTTTCTTAGATAGTTTGATTTAATATAAAACATTTGCACAGTACAGAGCGCTGACAGAGACAGTACTCATTTGTTAAGACATATTGAATAAACAATTGACCTTTTTTGACTCAATCCATATCAACTTATAAACTTATACCTTCTGCTTATCTTACCGCACTTTTAACCTTTAAGCGATCCTAAAGAATGCCTATAACACTTGGTGCCTTCTGCCAGAAATTATTCATTGAACCGTTCATGTTTAATGAACATTATCTAAATAATCAACAACACAATCAATTGCACATCAATTTTAATTTACATAATATTACTGCATATCACCGTGATAGATCTTGCTATATTTGTTATCCCCCTAAAGCAGTCACAATAAAACGTTTTTGACACTTTTGGAATTAGATTACTGTTGAATATCCCACAGTAACATTTACACGTTATACATAACAATATAGAAGAACTGAATTATACTTATCTTTATATTGGTACCACTGACACAGTAAACAACGTCCTCCAAAACCTCATATTCAGCATACGATACAACGTTGGATTTGAAGTATCACCCATAATCATTAGACAAAATATACAACGCCTTTGTTATAACAAAAGGATTTGCCTTAGACCTATTACACATATTATACCAGATATCTGAAACAACTTCTATACCACCTTCCGTTATATCAGACGATACCGAATCAACTATTTCAAGTAATATAACTGATAATAATCTACATATTAATAGCCTACTATATACCAACAAGGATCTAAACTTAGAAAATTTATTTGCTGAAATGGCTGCAAATCAAGCTGATATACAAGCATTAACCAATGCGTTGCAAAATGTCCTCAACGTATTTGCTCCACAAGGACAGCCTGCTCCTAATAATGAATTGGCAAATCTGACTGCACAACTTCAGGCCAATGTAAATGCCTTGCAAGCAAATCAACCACGACGAGAAACACGTATCGCTGAGTTGCCCTATTTTTATGGAGGAAATCAGGATCCAATAAGCTGGATAGCAGAATTTACACGTGCTTGTAATGCAAATGGCATTAATGATGCTCGAAAAATAGAGGTAGTCCCTGCATATTTGAAAAATGCTGCATCTACCTGGTGAACGATGAATCAGGCTCTTGCGAACAACAATGCAAATCGTATTACAGCATGAACTGGTAACAATAATTATACAGATTTTACCCAGAACTTCCCAGTGGCATTCAGATCACAAACTTTGGTAGAAATCTGGACCACTGAACTGGAAAAAAGAAGACAGCAACCAGGTGAAGCAGTAGATGATTATGCAAGTACTTTGTTGGAATTATATACCAGAGTTGAAACTCCTGCCTTTCAGTACCCTGACGCAATGAAGGTTTGATGACTTATTAGTGGTTTATTACCAGAGCTTCACTTGCTGGTCAAACCTTTCAATAATCAAACATGGAACACAACATTAGACAGGGCTAAACAATATGAATTAGCATATAGGGATACAAATGCCATTGAAGTATACATGAACAAATATGCACTGCCTGCCATAGCATCGAATCAATTTAATAATTTAAACAATGCTATTGCTGCTTTAACCCAACAAGTACAGCAACTTAATGTTCAGAATACCCCTAGAAGAAATAACCAAAGGTTCACTACAGGACAACCTAGTTAAGCATAAAGGAACTTTTAAAATAATAATATAATGACAAATAATCAGAATAGAGGAAATATCACCTGTTACGGTTATAGACAACCAGGCCATATTAAAAGGAATTGCCCTCTCAACCCAATGATGCCAAATCTACCTAACAATATAACAGCATTCAATATTCCACCAGTCGTTAATAATCCACCACTAGTAAATAATGTGATTAATACTGTGCTACTAAATAATAATGCGCTTCAAAATAATACTACGCCACCAACAACGTTCCCAACTTACAGGCTCTACAGTTGCTAGCACAAATGATAGGACAAGAAGATGCTGATAATAACCTATCTTTAAACTCTTTAAACTAGAAGGTGTACCACTGAAGGGTGATGATACGGAACCTTTTACAATTCTCTCAAATCTTTCTTTAACAGAAGTATACGCAAACAAAAGGGGATGACATAACGAAAATCAAGATGAAAAAGACTTTATTAGAAAAAGAGAAACTAAGCAAAAAGCTGAGGCTGCAAAACGAATGAACAAACCAAAGGGAAAGAAAAAACCTCCACCAATTCCACCAGTAGTTAATATAGTAGATCACTACACACCTTAACAATTTTTCAATCAACCTGCACACATATCAATAGGACAATTATTAGCAGAAAACCAAAAATTTACAATGAACATAATGAGACAGTTGAGAAAACCAATAGCCCGAAAAATAAACAAAGGAAAAGGACCCCAAAAAGCAGGCCCTTCAGGAACAACAGTATCTCCTAATGAAGGAGCAATGGATACTGGAAAACAAGATAATGGTAAACCCGAAGACGATGATAATTATGGAGAAAATGAGCCATACAGCCTTAGTACGCCTAACAAAAATGACCCAAAGTCCACTACTTTAAACTGTCAAGCACACATAAAGAAAAAAGAAATCTCCTAATCGTTGACTCCGGATCTTGCAGATGTATTATATCATTAAAATTACTAAAAGAACTTGACATGGAAATAGATAAAGCTTCCAAGACAATCATGGTAAATGTTAATGAAGAAAGAAGACGACCTCTTGGAATGGTTACTAAAGTATCCTTAAGAATAATGGGATCAATTATCACATTTGACGCTTTAGTAATTGAAACTGATTCCTATGATGCTATCATAGGAAATGATTGGTTAGAAAAGACCGATGCAGAAATTAGTTATAGAAATAAAACTATGACATTGTATTGGGAACAGAAGTACTTAAAGTTCCAATCGAATATCGTATCTCTCCAAAAGTTAGAATGAAAGTAGTAGAAAACAACGATAATGAAGAAGAATATGAAACTGGAGAATATGAAGAAAATGATAATGAAGAAAATGAGCAAGAAGAAATGTTCTGTTTCTCAAAGGAAATTATTGAAGAAGAAATCAAACAAATTAAGGAACAAGTTAGGAAGCCTTCTGAAGACAATCAAACAGTAAGGCAAGCATTTTATCAATATAAGGAAATTGAAAAGGAAACTTTTTATACAGGAAATCTTACAGAAGAACAAATGATAAAATTCAAGGACTTTATGGAACAATATGTTGATCTTTTTATCTGGGAATCTGATCAATATGGAACGACAAATGTAGTCACATATAGTATTGATACAAAAGATGCAACCCTAATAAAACAAAGATTTTATAGGACTTCACATAATAACCAGGAGTTCATCAAGGAAGAAATTCAAAAACATTTAAAGTCAGGACTTATAAGACCATCCAAAAGTCAATGGACTTTACCTGTGGTTGTAATAGAAAAAAAGAATGGTAAAAAATGTTTATGCGTAGACTATTAGAAGCTAAACAGTGTCACAAAAAAGGATAATTATTCTTTGCCTTGAATTGACGATATGTTAGAGACACTTGAAGGATCCCAATGGTTTACTTCATTAGATCTTGCCAGTAGCTTTTGGCAAGTTGAATTGGAATCCAAAGATAGAGAAAAGACCACTTTTATAACCTATTTTGGGATATACGAGTTCAATGTCATGCCTTTTAGACTCTGCAATACTCCTGCTACATTTCAGAGGCTAATAAATACTGTTCTACGTGATATTTTATGGCAATACGTAGTTGTTTATGTTGATGACATCAACATTGGTTCAAGATCTTTCGAGAAATACTTATTACATTTGGAACAAGTATTCTTGAGACTACGGCAAGCTGGGTTAAAGCTCAGTCCTGAAAAGTGTTTTTTCTTTGAGCAAAAATTACCTTTCCTTGGACACGTGATCAGTAGAGAAGG